GCAAGGACATCCTCCCAAGTCCACTGATGGGTTTTTTCATCACTAAACTAGTGGTACATTGTAGGTGTTCATTAGATATTTTTTGAATAAATAAATTAGTTGATCTAAGTAAAATTTCTTAGTGATATAAAATAAGCTCCATTAATGTTGTCATTAGCTGGTTATAGTTATATCTCATTACAGCATTTGGCATATAAGTGATTTCTATGAGAGAGGTGGGCTGTGGCTCTGAAACTGACATTTGCTGAGGGGCAGTGCATTTTTTCTCTTGTCTCTCATGTCCCTGTTTCCCCAGCTGTAAAGAGAGGAAGAGAGAGAAAATTCATATAGGCTAAAACTCATATAAAGGGTGGCAACAGATAGGAAAGAGAACCATAGTTACATCAATGTTTATGTAGTACTGATAAATGTTCTGGTTAGTCAAATACCTAAACTTATGACAAGACCAAAGACCACCAAGAATTGAAAGATATACCATAGGTAGATATAATCATGAAAGGCTTTGTAGTTCTGGGAAAGCATATATCTTTTGCAAGAAAAATAATTACATTGGCTAACCTTAGCCCAAACCATGCATCTTCTTGTATATTTCTCTAGCTGTTGGTGTACCACTTTTCTACTCTTTACACCCTTTCCTTTTATAGTGTAAATGATTTTTATTGTATTTTGAAATACTATGGTAGGGCTAGTGAGGGAAGGGGAAATGCTTTATTTCAAAGAAACATTTTGCAGCCAAACCTCCTGGGCTCTGATCTCAGTTTTGCTGTTAACTATATAACTAGGGGCAAATGATATACAAATCTTGATCTTACTTTTTGCATATATACAATGAAGATAATAATTGTATATATCATATTGGATGAAGTTGTTTTGAGGAATAACACCTCACAAAGCACAGTTCCTGTTACATAGTATTCAGTCTATAATTAGTTGTTTTTATATAATAATGAAGTGTTTTCTGAAAAGGAAAATGTACAACTTAAAATTGTTTTTATATATTATATTTTCACAAAATGATATTGTTCATATAATATTAACTGGATCATGGAAGCAAATATTCATTACTAATATTTTGTAAAAACTCTTTATACAAGCATTTGAAGTTTTAAATTCCTGTGCTAGAAAATTTATAACTTGAAATACTAGGTTTAGTTAGAGAGATACTTCAGTTTACAGTGTTGAAAGCTCTCTCTGTACCTTATATGGCAGTGTATAGGAAGTAAAATAATTTCCCCTTTACTCTTCTGAGTTCTGGGTTGAGATCTCTGTAATAAAAACAGATTACCAAGAGAAAAACTTCAGAACTTTGTTGATATGTATTCTCATGTATACAATGCAGACAACCAGGGAAAAATGAGTAACTCTCAGAGGTGGTTTAAAACTTCAGCTTAAGTATCATCTTCAGCTAAAGAGAAAAGAAAGAGAGGTTTGGGGAAGATAGGTTGTAAGGAAGTTACCAGGAAAGCAGAATAAACAAGTGCAAGATTTGTCATGCAGATTTAAATCCCTGCTTTCTCAATTTCTCATGTTGTCTTAGAGTATAAAGAGGGACACTTTTGTAAACTTATGTCCTGCTTCTAGGCAAATAGAGAACAGTGAGCTTTTCTTATTTCTTCTCAATTGCCTTAATTACCCCATATTTTGCTGTGTATAATGTACTCCTGCCGGGGTCCAGCCTCGGCAGGGTTCAGGGTCCCTGAAGGATGGACGGCGCAGGCGAATGAAAAGTCAGACACCCCATTGGATGCCGGACAACAGCCAGCCACTGTGGGGCTGTCTGAACTTGTAGAGTTTGATTTAGGCTTTATTTTTATAGAGATTGTTGTATAACATTAAAGCAACAGGTGCATAGCATGATCAGTTAAGCAGAAAAAAACAGTACAGAGGTAACCAGGAAAAGTACAAGAATTTCCATAGTTTTAGTTATGTTAAACAAAAGTTGTTTTGACCAGGAGAACCATTAATCAGACAATTTGAACTAGTTCCATGTGCAGAGTTTGAATGTCTTAATCCTTATTAAAGGTCTTAGAATTTGACATGGGGCAAAAGGTACGCTAGACCGAGCAGAGGTTAGAAAATTCATTATAAGGCCTTTGTGATGTCTAACTTAGCTATCTATCTGTCCAAAGTGTTTCTCTATGTACAATGGACTCTAACTCCTTGGTAATTGTATCTACGTGCTTAGCTTATAGTATCTAACAAGCTTCTCCTGTTTCTTTGCCTACTAAATTCTAATTAATATATATTCCTGTTCAAGGTAAAGGAGGGGCTGTTACTCCAACAACTTTTAGACATTCAGGGGCTATTTCATTAGAGGGAACTTTGTTCTCTGGTCAAGAAATTACCTTGTACAATTTCATTGGAATTATGCGAATCAATGAACCTGAAATACAGGTGTCTAACAACCCCGTCACCTTTTGATCACCAAAACAAACTTGTAAGGAGAGATAGACAGGAAATCCAGCCACAGATGCCTCTGCAAGGCATCTGACCTTGTCAAGGGACAGTTGCTGGCCGGCTCCCGACATGCTCCTGTGTCTAATGTACACCCATGTTTTTGGCCAAATTTCAGGGGAAAAATCTTTTGTTTCAAATTTGTAATTCAATTTTTAATTTATTGAAAATTAGGCACAAAACTGAATATCATATTCCAGGTTATTACTTTGCATATAGATATCTTTATTGCTTTTTAGAGTTACACTTTTAACATAAGTATAAATAAAAGAATTTAAAAAGTTATATAGATATGGAATTAGTACTACCCATCTATATGTACACCTTATTTTCCCCTCAAAAATTTGGGCAAAAAGGTGCACATAATGCATGGTAAAGTATGCTAAAAAATCCTCATGTGAAAGTACCATGTTTTGGGGTGGCATCTTCTGCTACCATTCAATAGGAACTTCTCTGGGTAGCTTTTTCTCTAAGAGACACATTGCCAAGAACTGTGAAGGACGTGCTATGTTATCCTACTTGCAGTCCAACAAGTAGACTGCCACAGTTTCATGGAAATTGACAGAAGCCACGAAAATTCCCTGTTAGAGACAAAGGACTTTATTATTCACAACACAACAGGAGGCATGAACTTAGACTCGAATTCCTCTTGCTTCCAAGTGCCACAAGGCCAAATGAATCGGCTAGGTGGGTGCTGCACAAGCAGTGGGTTTATGTTAGCATGGAGGAATTTCAAGCTTAGGAAAGTCCTGGTAACAAACCTACCCAAAGTTTTAACCTAGGGTGAGAGACGATCTTTGTTATCCTGCAGCAAATCTTACTGCCCTCGAAGGAAATACTATTCCTATCTTGGAAACTATAATATGTAAAAAATGCAAGAGAGCCATGGAGACTTGGCTTGCAACATATACAAATATAATGCATCAGTAAAGCTATTATAATGCAAAGAAGGTGTACAAAAATTCTGACCAGAGGTTTAGACCCACATTGTAAATGTAAAACCCTCCGTGCTTTCTGAGTCTTTGAATATAAAGTTAATCAACCAGAACATAGCGGGCAAACATAAGGCCCAAGGGCCAAATCCAGCCCTCCACCTTCAGTACCTTGTTTGTACCTGGCAGCAGTGCCCAGCTCTCCCTTAACTGTTAAAGAGTAGTTACATTTATTCAGTCCTAAAATTACCTTCGGCCCTTTGAAGGCCACAGCAAGTCTGATGTGGCCCCCTGTGAAAATGAGTCTGACAGCCCTGAACTAGAATAAAACTTTGTAATAGTTTGTTTTGCTTTGTACTGGTTTGTCACTTGACACTTTAATGAGTCATATGTTCTTTTTTCTTATTAAGTTTCACCACCCCCTTCTATACTTATTTTTGCCAATAATTTAATCTCACTGGCTAAAGTATTTTGTGTGTGTGTGTTGGAAGAACTACCACTTTCTCAAGAGTGGCTGGTACCTTAGCAATCTTCCTTCCTCTGCTTCTTCCTATAAAATTAGGTTTCACAAGGTTCAACGTGTTCCTCCTCTATAGTGTAGCTGAGCAATAGTTCCTCAACTTTGCAAGGTTCATTTCCTCTGCTAATAATTAACACTTCCCCCCATATTCTTATTTTTTAAATACTTTTTAGTGGTGTCTTTTTCAGAAATAACTCAAAGTAATACCTTTTTGTTTCTTAAGCTAAAGCTACAGCTGTCCTGTATTGTGTGTGTGCCTTGTCCTGTTAAAGCTGGAGTTACAAAATTCACCTGAGTGCCAAAGAGAGCTGTCAATTACTATTACTTAATAAATCAAATAATTGAGCATTTACCTTTTTTTGTCGAGTGACAAGAACCAAGCTGTTCCCCTAGATTGAGTCATTGATAGGGTTGTCAGAAAATATACAGGATAATATACAGGACATCCTGTATATTTTATACACACACACACACACACACACACACACACACAGCGCATGTCTTGTGCAATACTTGAGACATATTTATAATATTTTATTATTAACTTGAAAATGATATTTAACTGGTCATGCTGTATCCCTACCCCCCACCCCCTCCCCGCCAATCTGGCAGCTCTAGTTGCTGTTTACCAAAACACTACAGATAACCTTTTGGTAAAGTCTGACGTCAAGTTTGTTTAGCTCAGAAGCACTCCCTTTGGGGCAGCGGTAAAGGTTTAAAAATTTGGACTGTGGCAACACTGCTATTCAAAGATAAATGTAACTGCAAGTTTTGAAATTCATAGATGTGTATCTGGAAGTCTAGCTCAAAAAAGTGATGGAGCAGGTTAATAAGTCATGACCGATACGGAGTCCCTAAAGAGAAAAGAAACGTAGGCCTGGAGAATTTTTCCAGAGGGTGGAAGGTACCGCCGCAGTCGTCACCGCGGTTTAGTGGAGAGCTGGAGACCTAAGCGAGCCAATGAGGTGACGAGCAGGAAAAAGCAGTGTGCATGAAGCCAATCAGAGACGAAATGGGTGGGATTAGATTCCAGAAAGATGAAGGCTCCGATACTCAACCAATCGGAACCTAGTAGGGCGGGGCTGGGGGGGACATCCACAGTGAGACTCAAACTGTTCCGCTGGCGCGACTTCAATTCTGTCTCCCCTGCACCGGTACCTGCACGTACGCATTTTACGAAGCTGGGCGGACGCAGACGGTGACCTTGCCCCGCTCCTCATGGCCTACCCGGGATACGGAGGAGGGGTGAGTCCTGGCCTTTTCACCGAGGCAACTGCTCCCGTGGAGCCTGGCATCCGTGGTGATGGTGCCAAAGTACCGGATCCGCCCCCAGCCGCTGAATCACCTGTCTCTGGTACTCCTTGGCGGGGCTAGTGCACACCGCGCTGGAAGCCGGCCGGGCCTGTCGTTCTTGTCCTGAGCGGCGTTCTGGTCTAGCCACGAGTGTCCTGTGGTTTTAGAAATTATTGGAATGGAGGGCGAAAAGCACCCTTTTCTTGTTCCAGTTATCTTTTGTTGTGCATCCTCTCATCCCCCGCCATAAAACTCTCAGTTTTGCTAGACATCCTCTTTCTAAATTTTTTGAGCACTTCTTGTTTTCTCTATTTTAAGTTGCTCTTGAATAAATTAAGATATGCTGAATGTCTCCTAATCTTTACTGTTCTGCCAAGTGTAATCTGGTCTCGTAAACTTTTTGTGGTTAGGGAAGTTTACTGTTGGTTACATAACTATTTTGCATCACCTTTGTGTTGAAAGTTACAATTGTAGTATCCTGGTGTCCAGCTTTTTCTTTTCAGAAAGGAGTCCAACCTTCGGTGTTTACGTCAGTGATGTCCAAAGTGGATGAGTACACTTTGGGTTAACAAATGGACATGAAGGATGCCCCAATGGGGTGTGGGTAGAAAATAACATACAGTGTATTTCCCATTTTAAATCTACATTTTTTACCTAGAAAGAACTTGAGCTTTACTGATATTATGTATAAGATTTAACACTTGCTTAGTTTCACAAGGCCTCTTCTACTTTACTATGTTTACCTTTTATCCGTCCTGCATTATCATAGTGTAAGGAAGTTTAACATATCTAAGGAAGGTAGAGCCTTCCTCAAAAATTAGTCATGGTAGAAAACACCCATGGGACTTTAAAACATTTTCACACTGATGTAAATTACAGGGACTGTCCTGAGGGATGAAGTGGAGTTCTATACGTTGGCCTTTCAACTTGTTTCCTTTCAGCCTGTTGTGGTTTATTACAGTGTATATGCACAGTGTTCTCTGGTGTTACAGATTATATAATCCAACTTAACTAAAGTAACCCTCCTAAAATGAACCAGTAGTTTGAAAGTTTCTGAGAGGAAACTAGGAAGCAAAGACTATATTAAAAGTTCAAGAACGTGCAAAACAACATTGCGAACACTTTTAAGCCCAGGCTTTCCTTCAATCACATTACCAGATAACTATGACTGTAGAGTAATCAGTTTTGACTCCTTTGACACTATCAAGAAGACAACTTACTGTAACATGAATTTTTTAAACTTTTTATGGATTAGCCTAATATAATGGCCGAGAGATCTGGTTTTACACACGCACCCTTCTGCCTCAGTTGGGCTTCTTCATGCTTGCTTTGTTCTAAGAGAGAAACAGAGGCTTCCTCTCAATGTCCTAAGCCTGGAAAGGACATGGTGCATTTTTTGCTCTATTCTATCAGATAAAGGTCCAACTCAGATTCAAGGGAGTGGAGAAAGTCTGCCCTTGCACGGGAGACTTGGCAAAGAATTTGCAGTTATCTTTATTCTCACCACTAGTACCACCTCTCACAGTTTTGGATTTTTGGGGAGTTAATGCTGCTTGTCAGGAAGGAAAGACAGATAGAAGGTTATTCATAAGACCAGATGCTTTGTAAAATACTGGTTGCCTGACTGGTTTAGGAAAAAAACTAGTGTTGAACCTTCAAGGAGCAAATGGAGATGGTATAGTAGAGGGTCCATAATCATCTTTGGCATCACCTCACCATTAGCTTTTCATATATTCACTAATATTCATATATTTAGTTTGGACTCTTTTCTAATAGATTTTTTCAGTTTTTCTTCCTTATGTGAAGCTTAAGTTGGTGAGGGTCTTTAATAAACCTTACATTCTTGGATATATCCTAAGAACTGGATGCATTCCATGTTCTTGGAGCCTTGGAACTGATGCCTAAGTGTTGGTTGTTGCCACCTGCCCTCTGAGAAAAAGCTTTGGGAGTTTCACTGATCCTTTTATTTCAGGGTTCAGACTTGTCCTCAGATGTTGGCCAGGAAGTTTCCTTCTATCAGTGAGGTGATTAAAAAAAATTTTTTTTACAACATTTTGATTGTTTCCATTATTAAGTTTGATCAATTTTTCCTAGTCTGCCATTATGATAAATAGGACTTTTTCCCCCTTGAGTCAGTATTTGTAATGTATATAATTTTAGAATGCCCGTTTCATCCACACTTTCAGCGTATTCCTCGCGTTTGTCCATGTATACTTTTTAATTTAAAGTCCGTATGTGGTTATATGGTCTCCTTTTTAAAATTCCTCATCTTGGTCTGTCCTTTGATGATCTGTCTTTTCAAAGAAGCAACTTTTAAATAATCACGTTTCATTTATTTATTTATTTTGTTTTTAACCCGTCATCTTGTTTTGATGTTTCCTTTCTTGTACTTCATTGCTTCAGACTAAGTTTTGACCACCTTCTTGAGGACGTTTCCTGGAGCTACAGTACTTCCTCCGTGCTTTTGCTCTTAGCAAATCCCACCCACTGGGGCTTTTCAGAGTACTACAAAAGGCCTCTGTCTTTTGTCTTTTTTCCCCCTTGTGCTGAAATTCTTTTCTCCTTTTGCTTTCTGGCAATGCCTGCTGCATACTTAATGAATGTAAGTGAAGTACAAATTAGCGATTGCAAAACAGGGGAATGAATGTTAAGTACAGCATAGGGAATATAGTCAGTAATATTGTAACAACTGTATAATGTCAGGGGGGTAGTAAACTTAACAGGGAAATCACTTCATAAGTTACTTTATGTAACTTACATATAACCAGTATTGCTGTAAACCCAAAACTAATGTAATAGTAAATGTCAACTGTAATTGAACATTTTTTGAAAGGCAATGCTGCTTAAAAAAAGAATGTCAGTGAAAAATATTTTTGTTCAAAATGGAGTAAAGAACAATATTGGTATTTCTTTCACTTTCATACTCATAAAGATACTGAGTGAAATATCTTTTTAGATTATTAAATGTGTATACCAAGTTCGAAAGTGAAAAGAGAGAAACCAGAGCTATAGGGGAACACACAGTAGGTGGCCTTTGGGATGATGCTCTACATCTTACTAGTTATGTGACCTTAACCAGTTCTGGTAACTTCTTGAAGTTTCAGGTCCTCAACTGCAGAAAAGACATAGTACTTTAATACCTCATAGAGTTGTTGGAAGGTCAAACCACATAACAGAGGGAAAGTACCTGGAGTATTGGGGGTATAAAAAGCTCTCAGATATTAGCTGCATATTATTATTGTTGGTATTGTTGTTTTTCTTACTAGTTTTGAAAAGAAACATGGTTGGAATTATCACTTTACTGATGTGTTCATTGGCGTCTTGCTTTAAATTTTTTTTTCTGATGGAGAGGGTGTTTTGGCCCTATGCAATTTCCCTTGACTTTTTCACAATTTCATTGTACCACATAGTCTTCCAAGTATATGTCTTGAGTTATATACTACTTGTTTTCCTGTAGGTGAAATTTTCTTAATTTTTTTACTTTTTGTTTATTTCAGGGATGATCATAGTAAACACTTTTTTAAATTGTGCCTCATGTTCACCTTTTAGATTAAGTTCTTAGTGGCTAGAGATTTCTTTTTTATCTTTCATAGTTCTTTCAATGCTGGACAACATGTTAACGAAAGGCATTAGGTGCTAAGGTAGGCCAGCTAGCATTTAGCTAACAGCTTTTGTGATAATAAACATGGAAGCTTTCAGTAACTCTATTTCTGCATTTCAGTGGACTGTGCATAAATATTTTCTTTTAAACCAACTTTAGTGGATAATAGGTGACATTTGTAATAATAACTTTCTCTTTTTTTACTCTTCTAGTTTGGAAATTTTAGTGGTCAGATGCCTGGAATGCAGATGCCGATGGGACAGCTGGTGCCAGGACCAGGGCCACATGTGCCCCCTGGTGGATACTTGGGATACCCAGCTTATTCCAACAGTTATGCCTCAGCAGAAGACCCCATGTGGAGGTACTTTACTGATGTTGCTGGACAGGTGAGATGCTAAATACATTGCACAAATACCAGTTTTTGAAATGATTGCTATTTAAAAGAAATGCTCACTTTTTTACTTAGTGTATTATTTTAAGTGTATATCAAATTTGTATTTTAAACTTATCTAGACTAATTTTCTTGCTGACATCAGAGATGAGGGTAGTTGTTTTATTTTAAAAAGTCTGTTAGCATGAAGCCCGAACATCATTCATTTAACTAGAAGTATAGAAACAGGGTGGTATGGAAGACTGAGCCAAAGAGGACTTGGAAAAAGAGGTCTGCATGTACCCATGGGTGGCGTCATTAAGTTAGTTGCCAGACAGTCATGCTGTACCTAGCTCTGGCCTTCCTGTATAAAACAGCAGACCCTTAAGTGTTTGATATTCTGTAGTAGACTTTTTTAATTGCAGCTAAATGTAATTCTTTACATTATATCATTCTTACATGCAAGGAATTTTTTATTTTATTATAGCACTGAGAATAAATGTTACCTATAACTGACTATATAATAAATCCATTTTATACAATTACATCTTAAAATGCAGGAACTGGATGTATATATGTAGAGGCTTGTATTTGACTTCTGAACTATTTCAGTGTAACAGTTTTCAACAGTAATTTGCTATGTGTGTACTATTTGATACTTTCCTTGATTTTTCCAGCATTGTGCTTTTGAATAGTTAACTCCACAAGGACATGACTCTTGGCATATTCTCCCTTACCAAGTTGGCACTAGGGATATATTGTGTACCTACATTCAACAATAAATGTGTTGATGGCTACATAAATTATCTCATTCTTAATTTTATTCCAAATATTCCGTCATTTCATTTATATGTTGAATTTTGCCTAGGTTGAGGATCACATGTAGTATCTGGTTTACACTAGTATGGTCCTAGAACCTAATTGCCAAACTCACCTCTACAGCTGTGTTCTTTTTTGATAGGCCTCATAATTAATGGTGCTCTATGAGAAATGTCCAGTTAACGGTTTCTGTAGTGTTCCTTTTTATAGGACGATGTTTTCTGAACAGTGATAGCTCACTCATCAGTTGATTCGAGGGAATTCTGGCTTGTACCTTCATAAATACAAACACGCACGCATGCTTACTCACTTGCGTGCACACACACATCACGCATCTCAGTGATACCCATGACAGCTTTAGCGTGCACCCTGCTTCCACTTTCCCACATAGCAGATCTCTGAGGTGGGCGGAATAGATGTACCCTTTTATTGTAGATAAATAAGTGGAGATTAAGATTGAGTAACTGAACAAATATGACTTGAAGTTGAATATCGTTTTAAAATCTTGCTGCTTATCGGTGGCAATTAACCTAACCAATGGCAATTAATTTTTTGTTAATTATCTACCTAAAGCTCTTATTATTTAATTAGGAAATGTGGTTTTCCACTCCCAATGCCACCAAATTTTGTGGAGGGATCACATAGTTGATCATGATCCACCAATTCTAAGTTCAGTTGATGAGACCCAGAGTGATCTCTTTCTTCATGTAGTTTAGTAAGACATGGCTTATTAGTCAGTTAATTAAGATAATATGTTTTCATAAGATGGATGAAATTGGAATATGGAGTAGTGTACTTGGAGAATGCTTTCTGATGGTTAAAGCTTTTAATAAAGCTGTTCAAGTTGTTTTTCTGACTGAACATTCTGTAAAAAGCACACATAAAATTGAGTTTTATTCATTATATTAGATTTTAGAATTTTTTATTTTAATCCATAGTTGCACAAGAAATTCTGATATTTTAACATTTTGAAATAGTAGATGAATTTGGCCACAGACTATCAGAAATGATTATAGTTTAACCAAGAAGTGAAGACAATTATCTTTATTCTACCAAAGAACTAACCTGCTTTTTACTAGATACTGTGCTCTAGGACTTGGTGATGCAAAGGGCAATGAAACTCAGATACTGACTTAGAAGGTCCGTGTCCAGTGAGATGGACATATAGGAAATAAGTGATGGAGGGAAAGAAGGCTAGATTAGAGGTGATTGGGTAAGGATTATAGCAACACCAAGAACATCCTTTGACATTTATGCTTGTTTCCTTGCCTATAGCAACACTGGCCAAGATAAATACAATATGAGCCACAGGTGTAAGCCACATAGGTAGTTTTAAAGCCTTGAGTAGTACATTTTAACAAGTAGAAAGAAATATGTGAAATTAATTTTAATAATATGTTTTATTTAACCCAATATATCAAATATATTAACATATCAGTGTTATCAATATAAAATTTCTTAATAAGATATATTTCTTTTCTTTGGTACTAAATATTGGAAATCTGGTGTGCATTTTATACTTACCAAACATCTCAGTTCAGACTAGCCCTGTTTAAGGATCCAGTGGAACACATGGCTAGTGGCTGTTGTTTGAGTAGCTCAGGTCTGAAACACTCTTCCCTCAGATATCTGCAGAGCTTATTCCTTTGCTTTGTTCAGATCTTTCTCAAAATTCACTTTATCGCTTAGGCTTTCCTTAACCATCTGTGTAAAATAACACTGCCTTCTCTTCAGGGCCAATGCACACATTCCTTATTACTTTGCTGTATTTTCCCCTTAGTACTCACTTAATACCATCAAAAGTAATTTCTGCTCTATCGTCTCTCTTCTGCTACTAATATGTAAACTCTGTGAAGGTGAGGAATTTGTTTTAGATCATATTTGATACCTAGTCCCTTTAACGTTGCTTGTATGTAGTAGGTTGCTCAGTAAATATTTGTTAAATGATTTTTTTATTCTTTCTAAATGGAAGTTATTCAATTATCTCTCTACATTTTCTTAACATATTTGATTTAATATCGCTCTATAAAATTAATTTCATCTTGTATGAATTTGTTCTACAGTTGCTGATTTTTATGGGCTGTCTTTTTCCACATACTTCTGACGTTTGGTTCATAAACTTACTCTGCATGCAGTTTTTGTGGAATCCCTCGTCCTTGTGGTCCCCCTTCCATGTCATCCCCTTCGTTCCCCATGTTACTTTTTATTGTGTGTGATTTTGTGATTGTCCCCATCTAGACTGTGTCCACACAATTTTTTAAAATACTATTTTCAAACTACAGAATTTAAACTTTGTAAGTAAAACCACGAAACATGCATGGCAGAGAAGGGAGCACTTAGATGCTCTGTGTAGTGAATACCACATGAAGCGTTCATTGAGAAGAGTGCTTCCCAGGATTTTTAATTGCTTTAGAGCTATTGGAACTTTTCTAATGAGAAACTCCATGCTAAAGATCAGAATATGAATATTTCTAATACTTACTAGCAGTAGTCTGTAAATGTTCTTTGTTGTGTTGTTTCTTGGGTCTCTTACAAAGTACATGTTTTAAATTTGTTTCCTTGATCCTTTCTCAGAGCTGTTGTTTTGCATTTGTGAAAAAGTATTGAATATTTGATGCTTCCAAGTAAATTACTTTCCTCTGTTGGTAGATAATAAAATGAGGTACTGAAACATGAGACTGTTCAACCTGTTTCACCTCCACTGATTTCTTATTTGCATTAAAAACTTATTCCCCATATGTCCAAGCCAAGAATGTTTGAGTAATAATTAGAAGTATACTAACAAAATGTAAGGAATGCAAATTTTGCTAGGTGGAGCAGTGGTGGAGGGCAAAGCTGTTTTCTCCTTCAGTATCCTTTAGAATTAATCTCCCACCAAAACCGCCATGAAATGAAAGTTTTTGAGACTTTTCCGAAGATACTTTCGGCATTTTTCCCAACTGTTTTAAGTAGAGATGTGGTGTTTGTCACAAGATACATGCTTTCAGCTATTATAGTACAAAATGATGAAGCTGTTTTCCAGAACTGAGAAGAATAAATTGTATTTGAAATGATTGATAAATTAATTGATCGTGAAAACATTCATATTTCATGATGTTCTGTAATATGCCTTTGCTGTCAATATTTGTCAATTATTTTGTAGTTGATAATAGAGTAATATTTTGAAGATAACATTTGTTTATTTTATTTTATTTTTTTAACATCTTTTTATTGATTATGCCATCACATTTGTTCTATTCCCCCCTCCATTCCCCTCCACCCTTCACACCCCTCCCCCACCATTCCCCCCCTTTAGTTCATGAACACGTGACTCAAGTTCTTTAGATTCTGTATTTCCCCTACTATTCTTACCCTCCCCCCTATTTATTTGAAGATAACATTTATTGATTGGCCTATAATAGACAATTAGCATTTTAATATGCTTTTATACAACTGTGCATTAAATCAAATTATAATTATTTTTAACAGGATGGTGAAGTGGATGCAGAAGAACTTCAGAAATGTTTGACACAGTCTGGAATTAGTGGAACTTATGCTCGTGAGATCTTTTTTCCCTCTGTTGAAATTGAAATGGGAAATTCATTTTCTAATGTTCCGTCCCCATACTTAAAATAATTTTATCACAGACATACATGCACACAGGTTAGAGAGTCAAATAATTCTGCAAAGCGTGTTATGAAAATAATTGTTAGTGGTGCATGCTTACCTCCCCAATGTTAATGGTTCGTAGAGGAAACCTCTTTCAGGTTTTTCAGCCAAGTATTTTGAAGTTTGCCTCCAGATCTCAACATAGCATGCTTTTTAATCACACTTGATTTCCACTTTTGATGATTATCAGATGATGTCCTGCTATGGTACATGAGGATTTACTCTCAGCCTTAAACTCACCTTTGTCCCTGCACTCCACACCGGAACCCTTGCCATCCTCCCACCCATTCAGTCTAGCTATGTAGTAATTTACATTAGGTCAGTCATCAGTAGTGGTCTTATTGTTACTATCTAAATGCTCTTCTCAGATCTTGTGAGAGATACAATTACTTTTCCATTTTACACAACTTTCCTGCTATTCATCACTATCCCCGAGCTTTGTGCTGTGCTTTACTTTCTGTGCAGAGCTGAATTCCATCACCATTATTCAGGACCAGTCCTTCCTCTCTCTGGGTCTCCCCTTTATTTTATCTCTTGTCATCTTTTTAAATTCTATAAACTGTAACATTAATTAGAATAAAGGAGTACACGGGAGGTAAATTTTTTGAGACTGCATCTGAAAATGCTTTCATGCTATCCTTAGAATTAAGTGATCGGCCAGGTATAGGACTCTAAGTTATAACTCATTTTCACTGAAAATCTTAAAGGTACTGCTCCATTGTTTCTAGCTCCCATTGTTGCTCTGTGTGTCATTTGTTTTTCCTCTCTTGGGGCCTATGAAATCCTCGTTCCTAGTCCGGTAGTTCACAGTGTTGTGCCTAGTTGTGTTGTGTGGGGAACCAACCCGGTGAGCACCCCTGTTCTGGAAACTCATTCGCTTTAGCTCTGGGGAATTTTCTTCAGTGATGTTTTCTCCATTTTTTCTTTCTGGAATGCCTGGTGCTTGAATGGATCATTTATCTTTTTAAAAATATTTTATTTTTTTATTTTTAGAGAGAGGAGAAGGGAAGGAGAAAGAGTGGGAGAGAAACATCAATGTGTGGTTGCCTCTCATGTGTCCCCTACTGGGGACCTGGCCTGCAACCCAGGCATGTTTCCTGACTGGGAATCGAACCAGTGACCCTTTGCTTCACAGGCCCGTGCTCAATCCACAGAGCTACACAGCCAGGGTGTAGATCACTTATCTTTTCTGTCCTATTTCTCATTTTCCTCCATTTGGGGGGACATTATCTATTTTCTAAACCTTCTGTTGAGTTTTATCTATCATGTTCTGAAATCCCAAGAGCTTCTTTTTTTTTTATGAATGTGGTGTCTTTTTTTCCTATCTCTGAGACTATTAAAGTTTCTCTCTTTCCACATAACCTTTGTTTACAATAATTTTTTTCTAGTTTGTGTGTTAGATTGTCTTTCATATTATATGTCTTTCTCAGGTGTCAGTGATCCTTGGACGGTCGTAGTCAACTAAAATGCTAGTTAGCAGCTCCGAGATCGCACGTAGGTGCTGGTTGTTGACTTCCATGTCTGATGGTCAGGCTGGGCAGTTTGCTGAGCAGCCCCGGGTGTTAGTGTCCTTAGGGATTTCCTTTTGGGCTGGTTGTCCAGCTAATCTGTCTGGAAAAGAGGAGGGAGGACTCAGCAGGGCTCCCAGCCTTTTACACATTGTCATTTAGTTGCCTTGTTTTCCGTAGGTAGCCCTGTTCTGGAATCCTGCAGTCCACAGACTTCTCCAGGGAATAAATCCCGAGACTTCAGCTGGGGTGGGAGCAGGCTCAGTAGCTGTCTTCTTAGCTGAGGCCAGGGGGCAATTTGGAGCTCTAAATTCTTCTTAAGTAGGCATTCAACCACACCTTCTGTTTTTATCTTACCTTCACACCCATTTACAGAAGTATTGCCAATTCTTAAACTTTTGGGGTCTTCTCCAGGATAACAAAGCTGCTTTTCAGATTTTCTCATCGCAAGTTCAGGGAAACACTTGCTCAGATCTACATTAGTTAACTCTTGTCCATCTAGTTTTCCAACTTGCAAAATTTTGTTGCTTTGTTGCTTTTTTTTCTCTAAAGGTTTATGACTTAAAAAAAATTACTTTCTATTCTAATGGGGTGTGGGGGGAGAGAGTGAAACTCTATCAAGTTTCCTGAAAATTCTCACTTTTTATTCTTTGTCAAAATATTTAATCATATATATTTGATCTTATTTTGAGATTAAAGGTATGCTTATTTGAGGACTCCATTTTTACTGTTTATTCTCATCTGTTGAGAATCTTCCACCTAATGAATGTGTGCCGTGTTCACTTGAAAGCAAAACAGGTCTCTTCTGCTTGAGAATAATGGAACTAGCACTCCAGCAATGTCTCATGTAACCTCTGTTCCCATCCCTGCTCCTGCAGTTTCTGTACGAAGGAGCGCAGGGCTCTGTGCTGACTCCTCCACTTAATTAGCTCTGTGAACTTGGGGAAGCTTATCTTTCTGGGCCTGTGCTTCTTTAATTGTAACATTATGGTTATAATGCATGTGGCATGTTTATGTGAAATCATGAAACACTACCTGGTTCACAGTAAATGCTCCTTGAATGTCTGCCGAAATTGTCTATAACTGCCTCTTCTAACATTGACACTGTATCAAACAATTTAAAGAAAATCAGCTATTTTAACTTGTGGAATGCTTTATATATTTTTTTCTTAATGGGTCTAAAATTTAGCTGAAATAATTTGGTTCTTCATAGAGTTTCAAAAATATCAAATAGCATAAAATAAAATAGCATAAAATAAACTAACAAGCTTTAAGCATTTTTACTTATTTATCTTAGTGAGCTTCTAGCTGCAATAACATCATAAGCTTATAATGTGCTGATATAATGTCTCCTTTATGAGGACTATAATTTGTCTTGAGATAAAATATAATTATGATAAGGATTTCAGAAATTAAATTCTACTTAGTGAATCCTCAGGTATAGTTCTATGATTATAAAAAGTTAATATTTTTAATAACGCCTGACTTTAAGTTAGTTTTATTTATTTCTTCTTCCTTTCTTCACCCCTTCCCCAAGGTGGGGGAACAGATGCTTTAGTTCAGAAACTTCTCTTACTTGGTCAGTCGCAATAAAACTACCGCATGATTTCCCTACATCCATTTTCATCTCACTCCACAGTCTTGTCATTGTAAACCAATGGAGATTTTAGAATTGTCCCTCTGCTCCTTAGAATGCGTCAGTGACTTCCACTGGCCGTATCTTTAAGTGGCGTTCAAGATGCTCACAATCTGGCCCTCACCTGTCTTTCTGATGCCGTCACGTGCAGCTCTCTCACATGTACCCTAAACTTAACCAAATCGCTAACTCCTTCAAGTTTTGTGCTCCCAGTATATGTCAGACTTCTACTTACACCCCAATCGTATTTATGTGAGGAAGACTAAAGCCCTCCTTTTCTTCTGTGACAGCAATTGTCTGTTACTTTATAATTGCTCATTTAATTACCCAAAATCCCCTGAATGGATGTCAGTAGTTCAAAGGTAGTAGTAACTTTTATTATTATTATTATTATTATTATTATTATTATTATTAGTGGTGGTGGCTAACATTCAAAGTTTGCTGATTGGAGTGATTATATATTTTTTTTACCAAATTTTAATTTGCCAATAGAAATTGTCATAATCTTACATAGATAAATTTGGGCAGACTCTAATTCAAATAATGAATGTGTTTTATAGCCTTCAGTTTGGAAACCTGCAGAATTATGATTGCCATGTTGGATGTATCCTTGAATAAAAATAGAAAATACTGTTGAATAATTGCTTTCTGCATATTAAGGAAATTGTTGGTTATAGATGACCACAGTGAACTAGAGTGTAAAAATACTTTGTAAGATTCTGTTTGAATTCCATACTTTTCCAGTTTTACATAGCAATTTATTCAAATGTTGAGTTTGGCTAATTCTTGCAGAGGTAACGTAACTCTTTTTTGGGGGGTGGGCATCAGTGATTTGGAGTTTTGGGTTAGGTAAGTTCTCTTTGGTATCAAAGTTTATTTCTGTTAATAAAACTCTCAGAGAGATTACACAGGAAAAATGGGATTTAATGAATTCAAAGAACTATGGACAGCCCTTAACGGCTGGAAACAAAACTTCCTAACCATTGATCAGGACCAGAGCGGCACAGTGGAGCACCATGAACTGAACCAAGCCATCGTGGCTATGGGTAAGAACATTAAAATTCTTCAGCATACATCCCAGTTATCTTTGTCCTTTGATGAGATGAAACTTAATTATTTCATTTTGCTAATTAGCAAAGGGATAGATTATTTCACCAGCTGTTGCCTAGTTTGATTTCAAGGTTGTAGGTAAATTCTGACAAAGACCTTTCTCAAAAAAATCATTTTATTCATTATTTTTTCAAAAGAGTAACTTTCATACATTCCGGATAATAAAATAACTTATGAGTTTTCTGTGTTGAGTGTATATAAATATATTCCTTTAATTTTCAGTACTTACTTACCATTTATATTCTTTTGTAACTGGGTAAAGCCTCCAATTTGACAGCAAAGGCCTACCTTAGTAGGAGGTCTCCAGAATATAATCTAGCTTTTTAGCAATAAAAAAACATCTTTTTTGTTTTTGTTTTTTTTTCTTATGTAGTGTAGAACACACAGTAGACATTAAAATAACTCCAAATGGGAAGTACACTGTTTAGAATATTTTAAAAGACTTTAATTTTATTGTAGAGATTTATCAGAGATTAATAAATAGATCGCTGATAAGCTCTCAGGGTCTAAGTCTACTTTCTTGTGAAAAGTGATCATATACAATGGTATTTAACTTACTTACAGTTAACACAATTTTAAGTAGTTTTCTTAATTATGTTTACCTTTGTGATTTTATTTATATTCATTTATAAATAAAATAGCTTTGTAAGAAAATTAACCTTTGAAAGTTAAAATCTGAGCCTAATGCAACTTACCTCAAATTCCAGTTTAAAGAAGTCAAGACTAGTGATTTGTTTTGTTTTGTAAATGTCATTTCAGGGACAATCCTGGCCATATAAACATTATAAGGTTCTATTATAGAGCCTTAATAACTAATAGGTTAAACTTGTTCCTTAATTAGTCATGTTTAAAAATTAACCTTTTGCAAAAAAGAAAACTAAAGAGTTCACATAGGCAGCTGAATCTACAAAGAGGTATTCTGGACTATTCAGATTTGTAGTTATTTTGCTAAGATTGCTGTGGGAAATCATACGAATTTTCTCAGCATCGCATCCAGATTATAACTCTTTAATAGAAAGTTCAAAATGGATTTGTATATAACTACAATAGTTTGCATGCTTTACTTGTTGCTGCTATCAATTTACTCCTTTTATTTACTTTTAGCAAGCTTTCTGCATTACGTGTTATTATATCTGCACATAGAATTTTCTTCAATTGCATTTAGTTTTATTGTTTTTCCCTTTGAGTGGATTAGTGTCTTTTGTTCATATCTACTAACTCAGTAATAATACAGACAATGCTTCTGGGCCTTCATTCTTCACAGGAACGTGCATGCGCGTCACTAAATATATTAAGACCATCTACAGGGATGCAGAAAGTGGAATATATTAATTTGTATTTCTAATTATTTTTATTTCATTCTTTTTAAATATTAGTTTTAGATCTATTTTAAAGTGTAAATAATCAAACAGTGATACGTGTATAGAATTTAAAGCTAAATTAATGCACATATAATAGAGTGAATGATTCCATTTTACTGATAGGAATACACAATCAAAAAACTTTTGGAGACCACTGGCCTAGATAACAAAGAACCAAGGAAGGGTTATGGGACATAAAGGAATAGCATTTTTCTATTTCTCCTCCTTCTGAAAGACCATGTTGACTCTCAAATTTTCTCTGTTTATAAAAGACACTTGTAAGTAAAATATTCAATGGGAAATATAGGATTTGAATGATAGCAAAGATCACTGATAGTCTTTGCTTTGTTAGTCTTTAAAGAACTTTAATTTACAGAATTGCTGGGTGAAGGAGGGCAAAAAGTACAGATTTCCAATTATAAAATAAGTCATGGGGATGTAATACACACCATGGTGATTATAGTTAATAGTACTGTATTGCATATTTGAAATGGCTTGAAAAGTAGATCTTAAGAGTTCTTATCACAAGAAAAAACAAAATTATAAAGATAGATTATATAAGATGCCAAATGATGAAAGTTATATTTCACATTTATACTATATATATAGTGTCAAATGTTAACTAGTCTTACTTTGGTAATTATTTTTCAATGCATACAAATATCGAATCATTATGTTGTGCACCAGAAGTATAGTGTTGTGTGTCACTGTACCTTAATAAAAAATAAAAACACACAAAAAAAGCATCTGAAGGATAAAAAAATGAAATTACAGAATGGAAATACTGAAGCATTAAGACCTATGAAATATCTATACATTTATTTCAAAATCAAAATATATTTTTTAAAAACAATTATTTTTTAGCTTTTATTTTATAAGGTAGAATTATGATGTTTATGTACCTCTACTAGTAATGAATAATTGCTTTAATCAATTTTAATATGAATGGGTTTTGTTTCTAACATTGAGTCTTGTTTTTAATATTTTTCGTGAAATGCATTTTGAAAGTTAATGTATTTTATGACTATTAAAAATGCAATCTTTGTTGTGGTCTTCTTATGGTGTTTAGTTTTAGAAATTTTAATTTATCACTCCCTTTTTATTAGGTTATAGGTTGAGTCCTCAAACATTAAGTGCTATCGTTAAACGTTACAGCAAGAATGGCAGGATCTTCTTTGACGATTATGTCGCTTGTTGTGTGAAGCTTCGAGCATTGACAGGTGTGTATCACATACAAAGGGGTGCAGTATCATACGGCTGTTTTTCTTAAGTACAGCAAGTTTGTAATAGTACCTGTTTTTCCTCCATTCATTATTGAATCTAATCAGAGTATTAAGGCTTAAATTTTTTTGGAATACAAATAGTGAAAAATTGTTGTAGCTCAGTTTTGTAGATTTTCTTACTGAGTATGAATTTATTCCCTTTTTAGTAATATGGGGATACCACGTATTTGAAACTGTAGATTTTCAGTTATAATAAGAAAGTAATTTTTTTGTTTAAAGATTTCTTTAGGAGAAGAGACCACTTACAACAAGAGGTTGTGAATTTCATATATGATGATGTGAGTATCCTGTTAAACTTTTGATATTTACACTGTGTTCCAGAAGTGTTCATAGTTATTAAAAACTGTTAAGTGAACCCTGGTGTGAATACAGGGAGTAATATATTTCGTAGGCCATGTTCTTTTCCTATATTTTTTAGTTGAATGTAAATATAAGATTCAGTATTGGTATAAATACTGACTTGACTTAGTATTAAACATAAAAAATACTCTGAAATTTTGAGAGGTTTTCTTAAATTTATTTTATTTTATTATTATTAGAGATAGAAGAAGGGAGGGACAGAGATGGGGAGAAATCTGCTGGTTGGCCTCTCATATACATGCTGTTGGGGACTAAACCAATAACCTGTGCATGTGCCCTGAGCAGGACTTGAACCAGCCAATTTCTGCTTTGCTGGATGATGCCCAACCTACTGAGCCACACGGGTCAGGGCTGTGACAGGGTTTTGACAGTTTACCCTCTAAATCATTTCAAGGGCAAAACTACCATTATTTTTATGAAGAGTAGTTTACTTGTAATGGTCTTTCTTAGTTCTAATAGAGATAGGAAATTTTCATTTGTGATAGATTATAAAGCTGTTCATTTCTTATTTCAAGTGGTTGCTATTAACCTGAATTCAGGTTTTAAAAAAATGTATAGGAAAGTCATGTTTCATGTGTGTTTTAATATGTTAGGGCTGTTGTTTTGTTTTTATGTGGAAGTTACAGGTCACTATTACCCTATTAGTATATACTGGTTGAATTATAAGACTTGGAAAATCAAACTTTCTCAGCTTGTGAAAATGCTTTTATGGAATGTAATAAAAAATACCATTTTATTGTTAACAGCTAATGATTTTGCTTATATATTAGTTTTTGCAGGGCACTATGACAATTTGAATGCCTAGAATTTGAAAGCTGAAGAAAATACAGTGAATGTTTCTGACTGGAAGAAATAAACTGGACTATAGTTTTTGATTTAAAGCTTTTGGTGGGGCTTTTCCATGTTTCTACCTGTCAGATCTCTTTCCTTTATTATATATATATATATAATATATAACTTTAACTTGTTATATATACAAAATAATGTGTTTTTATTATAGCACAGAATTCAAAACAATAAAAGATGTTTTTGTATTTGGGATGTTTCTGCTTTTAGAAAAGTTATCACTTTATGGATATCTGTATAATGTCATCAGATATTGCTACATGATTAATTGATGTAAATATCTTAATTTTTAACATTATATAAGAAGCCAAATGGTAAAAGCCTATATAAAACTAATTTATACTTACCTGAAGGTTACAAATTTTACTTTCAACCTTTGTTGGGATTTGAAGGTGAGCTAGAAGGGCAATCCTGGATTTTGTGCCATAATCATAATGGGATTTGTTCTTAATCACATTATCAGAGAACAGAAACTCACAGGTCTTTAATGCTGTAGTTTCTAAAATTTTATTTTAAATTGCCTTAGGTGGGGAATAAAATAATATATAATGAAATAAGACTATAGGAGGCATGATTTTTCCTTTTTTTTTCTTCACATACTTTTTTCAGTGTGTTTTGTTGGCTTCTATGAAAAAAAGTTTTTAGGCAACTTTTCTCTCTGCACTTTAATTTGTTACTGAAGACACAGACTACCTAAAATGGCATCGTTTGCTAAATCTAGATTTTTCTGGAGATGATACATTTTAATGAAATGCCAACATTTAGATTTGTTCTGTTAAACTAAATTGTTGTTTATATATGATGCCAACTGTTCATAAAGTTAGAAAAAGTCAAGCAATATACCACTTTGCTTAAATATTCAAAAATTATAAATGTGACTTTACTGACAGCATTCCCTGGTGGTTTGGGCATTAGGAAACCAGTAATTCTTTTGGCATCTGTGGGGTGTGGAGCATCGCAGACGCCACACCGCATTTCTGTGTGGGGGGAATACTCTTGCAGTTGCAAAATTGGGTTACCAGGTTTTTAGCCTTTAAAATCCCTGGTGTAAGCTGTTATAATTAAGCCAGCCCCTTTCTGGGCAAAACTTTAAGTCCTTCTTCATGAAGATTTAATAAAACACATTTTTTTCTTACACATGAACTGAATATCTTCTCCAGATTACATGGGAGTACAGTAGTCCCCCCGATCGATCCAGGTGGATACATCCCAAGACCCCCAGTGATGCCTAAAACCAGAAATAGTAACTAACTCTCTTTCTACTGCGTTTTTTCTGTACATACACATCTGTGGTGAAGTTTAATTTGTAAATTAAATGTAATAAGAAATTAACAGTAGCAATATATTGCATTAAAAGTTACATGAATGTGGTTTCTTTCTCTGTCTTAAAATACCTAACTACTGCACATGCAGCGTGGATGTGCTGGCCAAAGGGGTGATTCGCGTCCCGGGAGGGATGGCCCGGGGCAGCTCAAGATTTCTTCTCCCTTTTCAGAACGGCGCAATTTAAAATTTATGGGTTATTTCCGGAGTTTTCCATTTTATAACTTCAGACCACAGGTGACCTCAAGTAACTGAAACCATGGATATGGGGGCACTACTGTATAAATAGACATAATTTTAATATGGCTGGTGACCAAATTAATACATAGTTTTTATAAAACTATGTTTCTTTAAAAATGGAGGATGAATGGTTAGTGGTATCTTGCAAAAAAAAACCATGTTATGAACATATAATTTTAAATCAACTTTTACTTAAAAAAAACCCTGGGAAATGACATAGTCATTTTGAAGTTGATAATTTTATATACTTGACAAATTCATTTGGTCAGTTTTATAAAAATATGTATAGAAATAATCCATATAATTTGGTCCTCTGGCTGTGAATTTTTTCTTAAACATTTGATAATGTGAGATGGTATTAACTGAACCATAAAAATCATTTTAAATGGAATTGTTGTAGGAAAAAGCTCATGTAAGCACACTGTCATTCACACCGAAGGACGATGGTGTGGCTCAGCAGCTTGGAGTCTTAACGTCCAACTGTAGGTGGTTCAGTTCCTGTACTGTTCTGAAGTCAGTTGTGATTGACTAGAATATTATTAACATGTCATGTTAGCACGGTAGTTTGTACTGGTTAATTCATGTACTGGCTTTCTTACGATCTAAATTATTGAATAATGTACACTGTTAATGTCTAAGCTTTTATTTGTACAGTAAACACGTTTCCATGTCATTTTGAGAATTTTTTTAATAAACATTCAAATAGCTTGCTGTAAAGTTTTGTATCATACAAAATCTGTTACATACATGAGATGCTTCAATTCAAATAACAGTGCAGTAACACCTACTATACCTAAAAAACTGCCAAATAATGAAATGTCAGGTATTCCACTTCTATTTCCAGTGCCAGTTTACACATTTTAAATTACATTAAGGGGAAGTCAATACTATTAGAATGTTAACTTGGTCCACTTTAATTGTAATCTTAAGGACTGTGCTCATTTGATCTATTTAAGCATGCATTCAGAAACAAAAAGTAATAAAAATGTCAAGTGATATGTTTATTTCTGGAAAGGACATTTATCCTGGAAGAAAGTAGAATTTATTAATGTAGTTTAAAGTTTGTGCAATTAAAAAAAATAACATCAACTTGCAATTTTCTTTAAGTAAAATATACAAATCAACTTTGGTTGTAATCTTACGGCATTACTAAACTGGACAAACACACACTGCCAGAAATGTGCTTTTCCTTGTCTTTCCATGTTTGACAACCTCATAGATGATAATGTTTTTTCCTATTTGAGGCAGTTTTCTGGGAAATGAATAGGAATAAATTTGTGAAAAATCTGGTAAATTAAATCTAGTAAGTAAAATCCAACATTTTCAGGTTAGCATATTTTTTCCTTAAGTTTTATAATGCAACCATGATGTTTTATTACTTTAAATTTTTTAATAAAAGCTCACAATTCTTTTGGCCTTAATTTAGTCATGTACATGGTAAATTAAGCATTTTGAAATAAATGTACAATGTTAAGGTATCTAAGAGTATGCCTAGGCTTCATCGTAATAAGTGATGCAAAAAAAAAAAAACATTTTCAACTGTTATAGTGATGAATGCAGAAGTGATTTTAACTGAATACTCTTGAAATATTTGTGATCTAGAATAAGGTTGTAGTGTCACATACGTACATATATTAAAATTGTTCAGTAATGTAGAATACTGAGCACAAAATTTGCAGCAAAACACTGGGAAACTTATTAAAAATTTTTCTGACTCACTCTCAGCTCATTACTTGAATACTTGGAAATCTTGTGCTTTTGTTTCTTGCCATATCTTTTTTCTGTCTTTTTTAAAAAGAAAATTTACTGGCATATAAAAGAAGAGCCTTGTATCACTCTACATTCCTTTTACCCACGTAGCTTGGTAATATGCAGCTTTGTATGTTTGTGAACATTCAAAACTCAGATGTGCTTTATGTCTGGATAGATAGTAAGTAGGAATTGGCAGCACTAATACATAACTACTATGTGCATAGAGTTAGGGAATGAGGAGCTCCTTGCAGGGACTACCTGTTGTTTGAAGTTGTACCCCTTCTGCAACATCAGGGATGCTGGCAATTTGGAAAGATTACAGGGAATGAGAAGAGTTGGGCTAGGTTGTCATTGAATATGCCAGGAATAAGTACTTTCTGATAATGTTGGGGCTGTGTGTGGCAGGGGACAGGGAGAGAGTGGGGATGTCCAACCATTTAAGCATAAAAATATAAATATACTTTATAAATACATGCCTATAACCATTTGCATTTTAGTTGGCTGTATTTTATCACCTTTTATCTTGCTCTGATTACTGAAATTTCAAAAGATAACCCAAGCTGTGCTTGTATGATTGTTCTAGAAACATACTAACTAAAGACCCATATTCTTTGGAAAATTATAGGGCATTTAAAAGTAATTTTATGATTAGCTGAACTTTTGGATGCATATTTCATTTCCCAGAGCTATCTAAATGCAGTACTTCCAAATTTATTATAAGAGATTTTAAGTTTTTAAATGTTAAAGCTTTTTCATACTTTGAGTCTCATTTTCTAATCAGCCTTACTATAGATATCAGTCTAGTACTCTCTGCTAATCTGTATTTGGTTTAGTTTTTCTTTTATCAGGTAGGGAGATGTTCTCTTGGATTTTTAAATCTCAGAAATGAATGGTGGGAGATCTAAACCACCAAACAGTCTTAGAAAATTTCCACATCACGACCAACACATTTTCTTTAAAAGCTCTTCTTTAAGTTTGATTTTTTTCTTATATAATAAATTAATGATTCTAGGGGCAAATTAAGAATGTATGAAACTTAGGTAAATGAAAATAATGTTATCTGGATATTCGTGAAAAACGAATAATGCATATCACTTATAAAAATTTTGTTTCACATACAAATTCAATCTTTAGCCATCAGAAACTTTAAATAATAAATAATCAAATGTTTTAGTAAATTACTATTGTCTTTTTGATAGGCAGTAGTAAAAGTAAAATGTTTTTGTTTCTTTAATGTTTGATGTAATACTCTTACCACTCAGTCAGTTTACTCGTCTCCTAGTGGGACTCAGTAAAACTGTGGATGCACGGTTACAATTCTGTGACTTTGTGGAACCCATCAGCACCCCACGCCCACGTCTAGTATTGTGCCTAGGAAGATGTTGGGAACAGTCGGCTTCGCCAGTGAAAGCATCCTAACTAGCTATTGAGATTTACTTTCTTTTTCCCCCCAAACAATTTATTTTACAAGTCCTTGAATTTTCATGTATAAATAGATGAGAGATTATATGGTTCTTTCTTAAATTATGTATATATGCTATAAATTCAATACAACTTGTACACTTAGCTACCAAAAATGTGCAATCGTTTTTACATGAAATTTACATTTTTTGTATTTACAGTTATTTGTAGGTTATTGCAAAACTATTGTGCAAGTAGATTACATTGTCAATACCACATACCAATCTTTGAGGAAAATATTTGCTAAAAAATAAGTATTTCTGCACAGAGTATTTCAAAAGCATCATGATTTCATGCTACAATATGTGCATAAAGACTATGAAATACTACATGTTTTGGTAGATTGTTTCATCATGTTTAAAGCATTTCAAGGTACTTACTACTTACCAATGCAAGTGAGCTTCTTAATATCAGATAACTGATATTTTCAAGTGATCACAGATTATTTTTTGAAATTGATTCTTTACCTGGCAAACATTCTATTGTACATTTCTATCAAAATTATAGAATGCGTATTTCAGCTAAATAGAGGTAATGTGTCTTTAATTAAAATCAGTATGTACCTAGGAGATAAAAACTGAGGATTCCTTAATATTTTTATATCAATATTTGGGAAAAAAGTGTCTTGGCATTTCAAAGCTTTTGTAATTTTAGGGGCATTTTGATGAAACTGGAGAAGTTAATGATAAGATTACTGACCCTCAAATTTTACTTCTAAATAAGGATGATGGAATGGTGTGGAGTTTTCTTGTATAGTGAAACAATGTAATGTAAGCATGAAAAAATACATATTTTAAATGCTAACAGTTGTGATTATTTTAAATTTTAAAACAAAAACAGGAAGTAAAAAAAACTAGGTTAAATGTATAGCACTTTAAAAATCACAGGTATCCCAAATTATTTTGTGTCCCTCAAAATATAAATTAACTCATGGAAGTCACAGGTGTCATGACAACAACACAGGAATTTATGTTTTGACATTAGCTTTTCAAGAATAACCATGTTAAGATTGCTGCTTTTTTTAGAAGTTTGGTTATAATTGGTAAAACAATGAAATTGGTCAATTGACTGTATTCTTAACATCTGTGTTCTTACCACTGCACTCTGCAGAAGTTTCATTGTTCACAGTAATAACTTACTAGTTTTAAATAACTTCTTGTTAATAACCTCTCTCAACCTCCACTTTTTGATATAAATAAGCCTCATGATAATTTCATGCTGTCAGTTTCTTCATAAGTCATATTTTCCTGTGAATTTTCTATATTGCATATCTTTAAAACAGTGTATTTGTACCACAAAAGCATGATTATTCTAAGCTTGGGTATGGATGAATTGTAATGTCTAATATTTATAAGGAAAAAATGCTTTTAGTTTTTAAAATATTAACATCACTTCATTATAAGTTAAGTAGAGCTGTAAGAAAACAGCCTTGAATGAGAGCACATGAAAAGTGGGGTGGGGGGGGGCTGTTCGGAGCTGTTGCAAACCTGAAAAACAATTGCAACACCAATAAATGCAGAATTTTATCAATATAGGACAAAGGCAATCTTGACAAATATGGGGATGTTGCAGCAGAGGAAACATCACTGACTCTCCTGCTCTGAGCAAGAGGATCTTGGAGAGTTGTGTGAGAATCCTTACATACATTTTTTAATTGAATTTATTCAGGTAACCTTGGTCAATACTTTTCCTAGATTTTTGTCATTGGCTGTAAATGTGGTCAGTGTTGAGTAGGGGAAAGAGCAGCATAAGTTTTCAGAAGACCTAAATTGTTCTGCACTTCTTCCACCATAAAGCCGCCATGTCTCTGACCCTGCACAAGTCACACGATGATCTCACAGTTGTATAGTGCTTTACGGTTTACGAGGCACTTGCCCATGGTATATTTTAGAGGATTCTAACCACATCTCTCGAAGATATTTAAGACATTACCTCCGTTTTTTATAGTTTTCAATACTGGGGCTCATTGAGGTTTTATATGACAGCAGGTGGAGAAAGTTACATCTGAATTCAGATTTATCACTGAATCTTGCCATTTCCACCATTCCACACTACAGCTTAGGCAGTCAGATGCGGTATAATATAGCTGTGCAGTGAGGGAGGAATCCTAGATGCCTGAAAAGAGCCATTGTAACTAAGAGTATTTTGTGGAAAAAAAAGAAAGCTTTTTTCTTTCAAAATTGTAATTTGAAAATGTATTTTCAAATATCCACTTGGGAACTATATCATGAATCTAAAGAGGGGCTTGCACAGTGAGGCAGCGTTTATAGAATACATTCCAGTAGCAATGAACTTGACATCACCTTTGTAAACTGGGCATTTCACATCAATTCAGAGCAGATGTGTTTGTAGCAATGCAATTCATACTCTCTATTACTCTAAATAGTAAAAGTATTACTTTAAAGCTATAAACCTAGTAGTGCAAAATACAATTAAGAGGGTTAAACAATGGCTACATGTGTGTTTTTCTGAATCAAAAGCTTTAGTCTTGATAATAGCTGTTTAGTTGGAGACATAGCACATTGTGCAAAAGCTAAATTGTGAAAATTATGTTCCTGATTTTAATGTCATGTTCCTGAATGAGAACCAACAAATAGCATTTTTTTCAGCACCTACTATGTGCCAGGCACTTTACTAAATGACGTCTCATTTTCTCCTCAAGCTTCTTCAAGGCACCATGATCTCATTTTTACAGATTCAGAAAAAAAGACTCAGGGATGTTCATTAACTTGCTCAGGGTCACACAGCTATTAATGAAACAACTTATGCCAACTCCCAAGTTGGTCTGACAGCAGAGCCCAAGCCCTTGCTGTTCATTAGTACAGTTTTCATGTTCATCATGATCTTGTGGGGGAGGGCTTCATCAAAGGGATTGCTGGGCCCCCCTCCGAGTTTCCGATTTAGTAGGTCTGAGTGGGACCCATGAACCCGCATTTCTATTGTGTCCCGGTTGCTGGTGCTACTGCCGCCAATTTGAGGAGCACTCTT